AGAGGGATCTTGTAAGTGAATCCTTTCAGAGCAGTAGGTAGCGGTAGCCAGGCACCATCTGGTTCTGGTCTCAGGATTGTGCAAAATGGTATTCACCTGTTCCATTAATTAACTGGTCTAATTGATTCTAAGCATTTTCAGTTTTCCTCATGCTTCTTTCCACAACACAGGGAAAGACCATGAATTGTACCCGTGGATCACACTTTTGAGTGTGTTTGTTAATTTGCTGCTGAGTCGATTCTGACTCAGCGATTCTGCGTAGGATTTCCAAGGCTGTAAATCTTTATGGGAGTAGAAAGCCTCATCCTTCTCTGGTGGAGCAAGTAGTAGATTAGGACAAGGGCATATTGTTGTGGTTGAAGTGCTATCAGACATTTCCAACTCACAGCAACCCTGCATAGGGTTTCCAAGGAGCCGCTGGTGACGTTGAACTGCCGACCTTGCGGTTCAAACCGACCTTTCTCTCCAGTGTTTATCCTATAGGCCACACTAGGACTCCAGAACAAAAGGTACCTTGTTGTTGTTTAGGCAAATAGGGACAAATGAAAAAGGGGAGTGACGTGTTTACATCACTTTCAAATCTAATTTCCCAACAGAAATTGGAGTAAGGTGTTAAAGCTTCCAGATTTTGGCACTTCCAGTCCTCCTTATCGTTGTTAAGTCGGTTCTGAGGAGTGGCTGGTGGGTTGGAACCATCAACCTTATGGTTAGCAGTCCAGTGCTTATCCCACAGCGCCACATCAGGACTCCAGTCAGCGTCAGTCGGACACAATCCCAGTCCGGTTTTGAGAATTGACTCAGGGATGGTGTAGGAGAATCTCAAGTCCTTATAGCAGACCCGCCCAAGCATCCGGGGCGGTTTTTGGTTTCCAGGCGCCACCAGGCCGTCTCCGACGTGGCTCAGGCTCTGGCAGCAGCCCTAGGACGACCTGCGAGTCCGCCCCTGGGGGGGTCCCCACAGGCCGCCGAAGTGGGACACGCATGCGCCCAGGGCCGCACGCCGGCCCCGGGCCCGGAGCAACGGTCTCGAGCTCCCTCCACCGGAAGTGGGCGGCCTCGCGGCGGGAGGAGCCGGCTAAACCGTGGCGATTGCAGGCGCCGGGCGTCCGAGGGGCTCGTGCTTTCTCTCTCCACGCGATGGCGGCGGCGATGGCCCTCTCGGCAGTGCGGCTGCTCCTAGGCGCTGTGTGGCTCTCACTTCTGGGCGCCGGGACGGTCGCCGCGTCCAAGGCGGTGACGGCCCACTTGGCCGCTAAGTGGCCCGAGACCCCGTGGCTGCTGGAGGCGAGGTGGGTGTGAGATGGACTCGGGTGTGGGCGCGCCGGGACCTTGGCTCCTACCCAGACCCGGTCCCGACCTGACCCGCGCGGAAGGACGCTGCTTCTCTAGCTGTCTTGTGTAGTGGCCCTCGGAGCATCACCTCCGGTCCTCTTACCTTGTCCTCTGCTTCTGGTTTACTTTGGACAACTTTCCCCCGTTTGTACTGAGCTTGGCAACTCTGACTGGCTCACCAAGTTTTGAAAAACTTTGGTGACCTAGATTTATTGTGTTAAGTTTTATTCGTTTATGAAGGAAAAGAACAATAGAGAAATTGGAAGGAGTGTGGCTTTGAATGCAAACGCTTGAACTGAGGTTCAGCAGTTCTGTTGAGGGAGAAATTAACACGGTGAAAATGACCCGGTGTAAGTGATTTATGTGGGCCTGTGAATGGGAAGTTCAGCTTGTAAGTTGCTGTCTTAGTTTATCCCAGCCTCTGCTCCCTAGAGTCTTGGCGTGGCTCTGTGTAGGATAAGCACTGGACCTCCAGGTCGGCGGTTCAAACCCACCAGCTCCTCAGAAACTCTAAACAGGGTCACTATGAGTGGGAACTGACTCAGTGGCACTTAAAAACAACCACTCCCTGCTGCTCACTGTGGGTCTTCCTCTACAGCCTCCGCACTTCCCTGCTCTGGGCACACACGCAAGAGTCAGGTGTTTGTACTCGGGAAGGACACCTAGTTTCACAAGGATAATGGAATGTCGCAGGATGATCAGCACTAGACTGCTAACCACCAGGTTGTTGGTACAAACCCATCAGTCGCTCCTAGGAAACCCTATACAGGGTCGCCTTGCCTCAGAACCGGCTCCAAGGCACTTAAAACAGTGCTCTGTCATTTCCTGGGCTTTCTGTGAAGAAGTCAGTGTCCCCACGAGTTTTTACACACATCTCCCCCCCCCCCAATCTCTTCCAGGGCACTTAGTTCATGAGGTATCGTTTACTGAGCAGCGATACAACTTGTTGTTGTGTGCCGTGGAGGCGGTTCCAACTCATAGCGACCCTGCACAGGGTTTCCAAGGCTGTAAATCATTTCGCGAGCAGAAAGCCTTATCATTCTCCTGCGGAACAGCTGGTAGTTTCGAACTGCTGACCCTGAGGTCGGCAGCCCAACTCGTAACCACTAAGCTGCCAGAGCTCCTTAATACAACTTGAAGCTGTTGAATTTTGCCCTTTAGTATTCCAGTGGTGATGGTTGTGTACCACAGGGTAGGTTCAGACTCAGAGCGGCACCGTATAGGGCTTCTTGGGCTGAAAAGCTTTATGGGAGTAGAAAGCCTCGTTTTCCTCCTGCAAAGTTGCTGGTGGATTTTAACTGCTGACTTTGCAGTTAGCAGCCCAACTCGCAATCTATTACGCAGTTAAAGTTAATTGGAAAACGCTGTGTTAGCCATAATAATATTTTAACACCAATTGCCTTTGTCTTTTCACCACAGCAACACCTATGGTCCTAAAAGAGACTCAGACTCCTAGGTTATACTACATGTGTTATTGTTGAGTGCTGTCGAGTCAGCTCTAACCCTTACTGACCCTGGATAAAGTTTTCTGGGCCGCCTAGTGAGTTGAACCACCAACTATGTGATTCAAATGACTTTGCAGTCCAGTGCAGTAACCCACAGCGCCACACCAGGACTACATACTGCATGTCTTAGATACTTAAAATTATATTTGATAAATTGTTGTTGTTAAGTGCCATTGAGTCGTTTCCAACTTATAGCAACCCTGTTTTGGGTTTCCAAGCCTTAAAAAACAAAAACAAAAAAACTTGGCTAGAGCAAAAAGCTTCCTCTTTCTCCTACGGAGCTGCTGGTGGGCTCAAACCTTGGACCTTGTGGTTCACAGTCCATTGCTTATCATGGAGCCGCCATGCTGTAGTTAATAATTCTAGTTAAAATGTGCTCCCGTCCTCTACGTAGTCTCTCTTGAGATTCTCCCATAGCTTGTGTGGATCTGATTCCATGCTTAGTCCCAAATTGTACGGATAGTTGCAGTCCGAGTTTCTACTTGACTCAAGATTGTTAGAATTGGCTCTCCTATAGAATGTTCCTTAAAGTTCTCCACAATGCAGCTCCAGTTTAATTATTTCTCTTGTAGTAGTAAGGAACCCTGGTGGTACAGTGGTTAAGCAGTGGGGCTGCTAACCGCAAGGTTGGCAGGTCAAGTTGCTCAGTGGGAGAAAGATGTGTCAGTCTGTTTCCACAGCTTTGGAAAGCCCATTGAGCAGTTCTATAGGGTGGCTGTGCGTCACCATAAACTTGTCTGCAACAGGTAGTTGTGTGTGTGTGTGTGTATACATGGCCCCAGTAGACTGAGCAAGCTGTTTATTGAAGAATAACCCTGTCTTTGTTTCCCTCTAATTTTTTTTTTTTCAAATTGCCCACCAAACTTTATTGTTAGCAAGGTATACTTTATAGGGTGATACGAATACCAATAGTCAAATGACAATAATAAAGTGGAGCACATTACAAATTACTTTCCATTAGTTACCAAATACACAGAGTTTTTCTCTGTGGTTGTTAAGTGCTGTCAAATTGGTTTCAACTGATAGGACCCTGTAGAGGGTTTCTAAGGAACAGAAAAACCTGTGGCAAGACTCCATCTAGATGTTGCAGTGGTATTCTAAGGAAAGAACTAGAATGCTCAAAGTTACACTGAAAAAAATCTCAGCTTTTTGTTGAATGGTTTGAAAAATAGTAATGAAATTATTTAAATGTTTTTAGGTCTATATTTCTATTAGTTGGTTTAGGAAATAGATCCATAGAAACTGTATTCGAATCAATTTAATAACAAAAAATTGGTTTAGGTAATAATAGATGCCTTAAGATTAGCCAACTGAACTTGTAAACATCTTATACTTTGAAATGCCTTTCAATTTTTTGTTTTGTTTTGTTTTTATTTAATGTTTTATTGTGAATTATATGATAGTTTACATGGGAAAACATTAGTTTTATATTCATTCTATTGTATATCGTTTCATTGCCATGGTTACAATCCCCTCCATGCATCATCAGCCAACCAAAGGGCATACCCTGCAAGCCTGCCCCCTACACTCTCCCCGCCCCGCCTTCAGCACACAGTCGTTCTCCCTCTCTGGATCTAAAGTCCCCAGCTGCTCCATCTCTCCACATCATCGTCTCTGCCTCCATCTCAGGCATCACTGCTTCTCTGGGTAGGGTCCCACACTCGAATGCAGTTCAGTTTTAACAGCAAGAAGCAGCAGATCAATTGATTTTTAGTCTTGAATCACACTAGAATTATTTTGGTACTAATTTAGGAAAGATATTTACCTTTGTGGAGCCTGGTGTGGTGCTGTAGGATAAACCAGTAGATCTCAAGGTCAATTTGAAAGACAAGGAAACTCAACGGTGACTTGTTGTTCCTCTTCTTTCTTTGTGTTTTTTTAAGTTTTTATTGTGAGGTTTACATGGGAAAACATCAGCTTTACACTCATCCTATCGTATTTCATTTCACTGCAGTGATTACAATCCCCTCCATGCATCATCACATAACCAAAGGGTACACCACACAGGCCCAACCCCCAGCTGCCAGCACACAGCCCTTTTCCCTCCCTGAATACAGTGTCCCCAGCCACTCCATCTGTCCACGTCATCTTCTCTATCTCTATCCCTGGTGTCACTGCCTCTCTGGGTAGGGTCCTGCTCTCCATTCTTCTCACTTGATGGTCCCAGGGACCTCTGCTCCTGGGCTCCAAAATCAAGAACTCCTCTTCTTTTGTCAAAAACCACCTACCTCTATATTTCCTACCCTCACAGTAAGTCTTGATGGCA